CAAGTTAGTGACAAAGGGGAAAAAGCATTAACACTAGGCTACGTCTACACTACAGAGCCTATGCCGGCATAGCCCCCTAGTGTAGACACAGCATACATTGACAGTTTTCCTGCCCGCATAGGAACACCACCTCTCCAAACAACATCTACACTCTTCTGTTAGCATAGCTGCGTCTACACTGGGGGATTTGCTGCCATAGCTATATTGGTGACGGGGTGTGGTTTTTTCACACCCCCGACTGACATAACTATACTGGTTTAGGTATTAAGCATAGACCGAGCCCAAGTGTCTGGAAGATAATGGGGCAGATCTCAGAGATGAGACCCAGTCAAAATCTGAGGGCCAAACGACACGCCACCATGACCAAACTACAGGGAACTTGGGCTGCAGATCAGGACTGTGACGCTTGTCTCTGCTTCGGCAATGGCCAGACCAAACCCCATTATCTCAACACCTTCAGACTTCCCAGGGGTTCGTAGCTTCCAGAAGAACTGCGTAGCTCAGGTCCATCTCTCATCAATAGTCACATTTGCCTAAGTGAGCCAAGGAAGGGGCGGGGCAGTGAATTATAGAGCAAGAGCATGGTGGTGTCCGTCGACGTGTTTCCGCCGGGGCAATAGAACTACGCTAATTTACACCAGTGGAGATCTGGCCCATAAAGTAGGCTTGATTAATAGGAGACAGGAGGAATTTTAGACATTTGCAGGACATTATAATGCAGGGGTCTCAGATCTGTTTGACCAGCTTCAGAATCAGATTGGTTTCTTGAATCTCATGATACTGACAGCCTGAGGTTTCAGTTCACAGGGACGCGTACAAACCTTTTCCTCCACCTGGGCTTGCATCCCTGGAGGTTTACCTTGAATTCCAGGAGAACAGGAAGCATGGTTTTGTGGTTAAGGCACTGGAATGAGACTCAGGTGATAAGAATTCAGTTCTCGGCTCTGCTACCGACTCTTCTGTGTGTCCTGGGGTAGGGCACTGAATCACTCTGTGCCTCAGGTCCCCTTCTAGTAAAGGGGGAGAGCACTGGTGCCCAGACTCGTGATATTCGATGTTTTCATCCCAACGTCACAAAACCCGAAATCATTAGGGACTTTCCAAAAAATTAGGCCACTAACTACGTGGGGTGGTGTAAACTCAGAACCCAGAGGAAACAAACAGGCAGCCACATATGGCCAAAGGCAGAATGAAGGTGCCTAGGCCAGATTGTGTTTGATACTCCCTACCCTTAACTCCATCCCATTCCGAGCGATTTAACACTGAAAATCATTGTGGACAATCACTTCCTCCTGGTGCTGTCATGGGCCTCCCTTGATGACAGACAGAGCAAGGAGAGGACAGAGAGAGGCGAAAAGAAAGCAAGAGGAGGAAAGAAGAGCTGCTCAAAAAATGGGATAACATTTTCACAAAACAGCCTCCCTTCTTATTGTCATCAAAATTCAAAGTTTCAGTGAAAAATTCTGTCGATGGTTCAAAACCTGCAAATATTTGACCAGCTCGAGAGGAGAGTTTAGTTATCAGCCCCTTAGGTACGACGGTAACAAACTCTATAGGAAAATCTAGGCAGAGCCAGATAGATAGATAGATAGATAGATAGATAGAGGATGTGTGCGGAGATAGATAGATAGATTAGATAGATAGATGGGTGTGTATGGAGATAGATAGATAGATTAGATTAGATAGAGGGGGTGTGTGGAGATAGATAGATAGATAGATTAGATTAGATAGAGGGGGTGTGTGGAGATAGATAGATAGATTAGATTAGATAGAGGGGGTGTGTGGAGATAGATAGATAGATTAGATTAGATAGAGGGGGTGTGTGGAGATAGATAGATAGATAGATGATAGAATGGGACTTAGGCCAGGTCTACACTAAAAGGCTATGTTGACCCAGCTATGTCACACCAGGGTGTGAAAAGTCCACCCCCCATTGCAACATAGTTAAGCCTATCTAACCCCCAGTGTAGAGAGCACTAGGGCGATGGAGGAATTCTTCCGCTGACCTAGGTACTGCCTCTTGGAGAGGTGGATTAACTACAGCGAAAGGCGCAGGTAACGTCTACCCTGAAGCGCTCCAAAGGCGCAATGGCTGCTCTGCAGCTGTGATGCTGTACTGTTTCACATGCAGACAAGCCCCTAGGCTCATTAGCCATTTAGGTGCTTTTGAGCAAACGTCCCACCGTCCCCAGGTGGAAACCCACCCCAGCGATTCCTTTCTCTCCCTCTGCCTGGGGCCCGGATCCGGCAGCCCCTCGTGAAAGTGCTTTCGCACTGACGGTGCATGGATGCTCTTTAGCTGAGCACAAGCCACAGTAAAAGCGGCAAAACGAACTTTATCACCTGCTAAAGGCAAGCAAAGTGAGTCCATTCGAGGACACATTGGAGTCAGCTGTCAGGCCAGGCTGTTGGGAGGGGCAGCTCTTCTCCTGCAGCCAGACCAGAGAGGGGAATGACTCAGTTTCTCCTTGCCTCTTAAAGGGGGACTATATATCAGCCTCTGCAAAGGAGCATTGTCCTCCCAAAGCTATTTTTTGCAAGCAAGACTCAATAGCATCCTTGTTTGCAGCCCTGCTGGGTCACCTATTCCAGAGGCTGCTGCCCACATGGCACCCTCCGACATCACAGTCATTCTGAGGGCGGCAAAGGGGGGACAAACTAGCTGATGAGGGGATGGTTAATCACAAGATCGGGGAGGCCTGGCACAAAGGGATTCGTAGAGAACAAATGGCAGTGCCCCATGTCCAGCATCTCTGTCTCAGCACGACCCCAGTGCGCACACTCTGCCCCACCAACCCCTGCGCCACCAGGCCAGCAGCAAAGCCCATGTCTCCTGTCTCCCAGTTCAGTGCTCTCTCCACTGGATCATGCTGCCTTTCAAACTTATGGGAACCTTTTGACTATCCAAAGACTGGATTATGTCCTTTCTGGATTGACCGGAGTTGTTGCCTTGCACACAAGTGTTTGCCAGAAGCTGGGAATGGGCGACAGGGGATGGATCACTTATCATACAATCATAGAATCATAGAATATCAGGGTTGGAAGGGACTTCAGGAGGTCATCTAGTCCAACCCCCTGCTCAAAGCAGGACCAATCCCCAACTAAATCATCCCAGCCAGGGCTTTGTCAAGCCGGGCCTTAAAAACTTCTAAGGAAGGAGATTCCACCACCTCCCTAGGTAACGCGTTCCAGTGCTTCCCCACCCTAAAATAGTTTTTCCTGATGATGACCTGTTCTGTTCATTCCCTCTGGGGCACCTGGCACTGGCCACTGTCAGAAGACAGGATCCCGGGCTAGATGGACCTTTGATCTGACCCAGTAGGGCCGTTCTTATGTTCTTAAGGGCCGTTGATTGAAAAGACAACAGTGCTAAGCACAAATAAGGCTGCAGGTTGGGCCCCCATCCCCAGTTAACCAACCCCTCTGCTTGGCTGCAAGTTTCAGGAGGCCTTTGACTAATTAGATTTCAGTGCATCGCTCTGACAAAGAGAACTGCGCACCGCTCATGGTTTGAGCCTCTGGTGAGGTAGCAGGTCACAGACTGAGCACCTCCATCTGGCTGACAAGCACCCTCGCTGCAGGATGTGCACCCTGGGCAGCGTTGCTGCAAACTGAACACAGACAACGGGAGTCCCTTACAATAAAGAAGAGAAGGAGCCGACAAACCTGCTGAATGCAAAGGCGGCTGCTTCCGCAAGCAGTGCCTTTCCCTCGGGTTAACAGACCGGAGGCTCCGGCCTTTCATTCCACAGTTCCTGATAGAAAGTGCCTCAACCCATCCATCTGATCAGACCCTCCTTGAGCTTGCAAAGGGAGCTCTCGATTGTCACATCTGTTCTAGATGACTGGAGCGCTTTTCTAGACTGGCAGATGTTTCCCAGGAAAGCTTTCTGTACACTGTAAAGCCTGTCCATTGTAAACTCTTTTTCTAGACTTTGGGAGGGAGAGGCTGTCTTGTTTAGTCCCTCTTAATTGTTATGACTATTACTCATATTACCAGCGCACCAAGGAGCCCTAGTCATGAGCTAGGCACTGTACAAACACAACAAAGACAGTCCCTGCCCCGGAGAGCTGACAATCTAAGACAAGAGGCAACAGGTGGCTGCAGACAGGTGGGAGACGACAAGGGAACAGTGAGACAGGACGGGTCAGCACGGTAGGTCGTGGGCTCTGCACACCAGCAGTCTGGTGGGGGTTAGACAGCGAGTGTTGGGCAATGGGAGGTCCATGCACAGGGCAGTGATCTCATGGTAGGAGGTTAAAAGTCTGCTGCAATAATCTTAAAATAGCAATTCAATGCATTAAGATTCCACCAAATGCAATGGTCTCCTGAGCACCTGGGTAAAGCAGGTGTGCTGTTTAACGAGGTGTTAATTGGGCAGTGGTGGGGGAGGGGACACAGAACGAGGAGGTACAGAGAATGGGGGTTGGGGATTTTGCTGATGGAAAGGTGGAGGCCTGAAATAAAGAGCGAGCTGGATTTTTATGTCTCTGTGCCACGGGGGGATGCCCAGAAGGCAAGATGTCCGGATGCATCTGCTCCTGAACCACTCCTTGCTCTCAGGCGCTGAAGGCTTTTGCCAGCAAGTGATCTCGGGGCGGTAGGTCTGCAGCACTGCAAGGTGTGTGTGTGGGGGGAAGGGGCGTGTCTATTTGTGTGATATGGGAGGGCTAGATCCTCCGAACCCCATGTGTGGTTGGAGCGCGAAGGGGGGCCAGGCAGCTTGTGCAGCGCTAGCTGGGTGGGACGCTGCCTTAGCACACAGCCACCGCTCCAATAATTCACAGCTGTGAACTCCAGGCCGGCCATAGATGTAGTCACTCACATGAGAGTGTTTTCTCCCCGCCCCCTCCTGCCATCTGGCAGCAGTTAGCTGCCTGAAATAGAAAGCGAGTGGAAAAGAGACGCTGATCCAAGCCAGGCCCCTTCTCCGGGGACAGCACACGTGTGACTTGCCTGCGCTCAGCTCCCACGCCCAGCCGCCGCTGCGGACACTCACCGTGCACCTTGACTTTCAGGTGGCGCTCGCACTTGGACTTGGCTTTTACCAGCAGGAAGATCTGCTCCTCTTTGGTGATGACATCGTCAGCATCCACCTGCAGGGAGACAGAGGCACACGGTCCGTCAGCGGCCAGAGACGGAGCAGCGAGCTAGAATAGGCTGCCCCGGGGACTGTCGCTCTGCGCATCCCTGGTGCCCCTCACCAGAGCCTCCCAAAGGGATCTGCTCTCAGAGGCCCTGTTACACTCCCCTCGCTGCTCTGATTGTGAGTCAGGCCGCTGTGGAGAGGGAAGAGGCTTTTCCCCGCTGTGAGCAAGTGTTCGGAGTCCTGCGTCCTTGCCCCCATCTTCTCCAGCTGGCTGGGCACGCAGAGGGAGCAAGCTGCTCCACCAAAAGAGGTGAAGTAATTTACTTCCTCCCCGGGGCAAGACTGCAAGGCCAGAAGGGACCATCAGGATGATGTGGCCTGGCCTCCTGCAATAACGCACTCCACGGCATTGCACCCCTAACTGTGGTGAGAGCAACAGCGTCTCATTTAGAGAGTCAGCCAGGCCCGTCTGCAAGCCATGGCCAGTCCATCACTTCCCACCTCCCCACCCCCCGAGAGGTGAGCTGGGGAGGAGCCAAGCTGCAATCCCTGCTCTGCTCCGCTAGGCATCCGTCTTTAGTCAGAGCAGCTTGGACAGTTAGGGGGTTTTTGTCTGTGTAGACAGACCTGAGGTAGCTTTGATCTGGCTCGCTCTGGTAACAATAGAGTGGACATCCTAGTAGTGAGCAGAGGTGGCCAATGCTGTTAACTAATATTGTGCTGTGCGGGTCAATATCTGTGCGAGGAGCTGAGAGGTAAAGAGCAAAGAACCCCTCTTTAGCTTCACTTACGGAGTCCACCAGGGATCTGCACAGACGAAAGACATGGACTCACAGAAACGTACAGCTGGAAGGGACTTCGAGAGGGCTTCTACTCTATCTCCCTGCACTGAGGCAGGACGAAGTAAACCTAGACCATCCCTGAGCCATCCTGTGTCCAACCTGTTCTTACAAACGTCCGGTGACAGGGATTCCACAACCTCTTAGGTGGCCCATTCCAGCACCAAGCATCTTAGCTTCCGCAGTGGGTCTCTCCTTCCACCAGCAATATAGCACATGTGCCAAACCCTGCAGCTTTGTGCCCGCCGGATCGTCCCCAGAGGTTAAGCAGATGTGGTGCGGTTCTGTCCATCTCATTTCATCTCAACCAATGTCGACAGGATCAGCTTGACAAACACTTCTCCCTCCCAGCCCATGGGCTTGTCGGCCGCAGGATTACACGTGCCGGGCTAGATTTCTTTTTCATAGGACATCAGGGTGAATTTGCCTAATTGAGCTTAAATGCTTGCCAGCCAGGGGGAATGGAGTCTTCCTAATACTGGGGTGGGGGGACAAAAGGCCCTGCCCCCTCTGTGGCCCTGCCCCTTCTCTTTCTCCAGAGCCCCCACCAAGCCAGAAGCTGAAGCCAGGCCGGGGAGCTCGGGCCCGCCACCTGCCTGGGGGGGAGGGAGGGCGAGAGCAGTCCCCAGCCCATATCCCCACCCCCCCGGGGCCTCCACCTGCCCGGGGTGGGTGGCCTGGGGGTTAGGGACACGGGCTGGGGACTGCTTTTGCCCCCAGCCCCCTCAGCAGGTGGAGGGTCTGCAGCTCCCCACAGCTGTCTGGGCTCCCTGGGCCACTCATACCCAGGCCGGGCTTCAGCTTCTGGGGGCAGGGCCTTGGGGGGAAGAGGAGGGGCAGGGGGCCGGGCCCATGGCAAAAAATGAGAGGGCCTTGGCCCCCCTGTTCCGACGCCCCTGTTGCCAGTCCATTCCTTTTCCCTGAGGATCCTGACCTGCAGCAGCCGTGCAGCGTTCAGAGCTTGAGATTTCCCCAGCAGCGGAAAGGAAGAGGAGGTGGAAGTAACGCAAGTGAGCTTACGGAAGGTCTCAGCTGGTGAAGCGGGCGAGGATTCTACGGCCCGAGGATCTGCATTCACCCGCACGTGGCACAGCGTGCAAAGCGGGGAGCTGCCGTTCCGTCACATACATCCTATCCAGGGATGGGGAGGGGGTAGTGGGAGGATCAGTATTAGAGACAAGTCAGCTAAGGGGGGATTTTCTAGGAGCTGAAGGGGCATCTGTGCGTTTAAGAGGCTGGTCATTGGCTTAGGACTTGAGAGGTCTGGGTTCAAGTCCCTCCCCTGCCACAGACTACCTGCGAGACCTTGGGCAAGTCCCTTAGCCTCTCTGTGCCTCTGTACAATGGGGATAATAACACAGCCCTGCCTCACATGGGAGCTGTGAGTGTAAGTACATTAAAGCTTGTGAGATGCTGAGATCCTGCAGTAACAGGGCCTGTGTAAGTGCCTTGGATAGACTAGGCTGCTTTGAAAATCCCATCTTAAACAGCACGGGGCAGAGGACCCACAGTTGAGCAGTTCTGATCCCATCCAGCAGAGGAACACCAGCCCGTCCACCATGTCTGCTCTACAGTCTATTAGACTTCTATCCCAGCCACCTACGACATCCTGGTTCCTCACCGGTCCCTAGATATAGTTATTCTTACATCATAATTAGAGTCCCCATTGATCCATTCTGAGACGCCATGTGCAACTGTCTCGAGATCTTGCAGAGAGACCACAGAGAGCTACACACACACAGAAAGGGAGGGATTTCTAGGGCAGGACACCAAAGTCTGCAGCACGGAGGGAGGAAGCTAGAGGAAGCTATTAAAAAAATCCCATTGAGTAATACTTAAATACAGGAACACAGATAAATATAACACCAGGGAACAGCTGAGCTGGGATTCCAGCCTTCCAACCCCTCCCACTCCCCCATGCTTCAAAATACCAATGGAGTTAAAAATATAGAGGGCTCCTGCCCCTTTAAATCCCACAACCTGCCCCCATTCATGCTGTGCTATTCCAACTTCCTCAGGCAGGCCCTGGGCCACATGGCACCTGCCTCAATCAACATCCCATCCAAAATCCAAGAACAAACATTGACAGCCGGCTGCCGGGCTGCCAGCCCCTACCCCCGAAGTCCGGAGGGCTCAGGAAACCGAGCTTGTAAACTTTGCACACGGGAGGCTGGGTTCCTCCTACATGTGCCAGCTGCAAAGCCTGACCCAGCCCAGCCTGCAGCATCCTGGCTACCCGGAGTAGCCCCTTCCCTTTGGGCCCTGTTGCCAGAGTCCCCTTGGGGCAGAGCGGAGCTGTGGTTCGAATCTGGGGAGCAGTCTGCACCCGGCTTTCTACTCCAACGCTCATTTTCATGGGAGCAAAACCAAAGATTTGTCTTCCTGCCATTCAGCCAGGCTCCCATATCCTCTGCCCGCACGTGCATCCCCCAGAAGGGCTGCCCCCTGCTGGAGACAGCGTGGAAGCCTTCCCGCTTGGGATGAGGGGCGTGAACAAGCACCATTAGAACTGCAGGGGGCAGGAGAGGTGCGGGACCTGGAGAGGCACAAGCAAGCAGGAGATCAGGATGGGGATGTGTCATGGAATCTTTCAGGGGGGCTGTGTAAATGCAAAGCAAGCCACAGCCCGTGCCCCAAAAGCTTCCAGCCTAAGGCTACGTCTGCACAGCAGCTGGGAAGGGTGAGTCCTGGTCCGGACAGACATACAAGCACTAGCTAAAGCAGAGCTGGCATCTAAAAAGTGCAGGGTCAGGGGGAGCCGCTTGGGCTAGCTGCCTGTATACCTTTGGCCTTGGGTGAGTCCCTTTCCCTGGCTGGGAATTTTTCAGCAAACTGTTTTCCCATGGATTCATCAAAACCAAAACCGTGCATGGAAAAGGGTCGGTTTTGAGGAATTTCCCAACTTGAAAACGTGAGGGAGGAAGGGGGGGGAGTTCTGCCATTGTCAAAACACCTCATTTTGACGTCTTCTAAACGAAAAGTCCCCGTTTCCCCGTCTGAAATGACTTTTCGTTCAGAAGTCTGAGCTAAAGATAGAAACAAATCTTTAAAAAAAAATAAATAAAAAATGGTTGAAATAGAAATGAATTGTTTCAAAATGACCAAATGAAACATTTCGCCTGATCCGAACTGAAAAAAAAAAAATTCCGTTTGTTGGCTCCTGAACAGTTTTGAGATTTTGACATTTTTGTCCTGATTAGGGATGGGAAAATCCTTCAAAATCTCAAATATTTTCCCAGGATGGCAAAACCTCGTTGTCTATTCAGACAAGCGGGGAGTGCCTCTTGTTACGTGTTTGTACAGCACCGAGCACCGTGGGGCCCAGATCTCAGTTGCGGTATCAGGCCCTACTGCAATCTAAATAGTAAAGCACGCACAGGCTTTTAGACACATCGGTTTGGAAGCTGAGCGTGAGCCACAGTCTGGCCATACATAATGTATGACACAGAATCTTCCCTTTCAATAGAGCATTTCCATCAGATTCAGGATGATGGAGGATGGTAGGAGAGAATAAACATAAATACATAAATAGATGTTTATCCCATATGCAAGGACGGGAGAAAAGCAGAAAGGTCATGAACTGCCAGGGGCCTCAACATGTAGATCAAATGTACCCCGTGTAGTTCTTTAATTCTACAGTGATGGGACAGACAAGGCAAGCGAGACCAGATTAGAGAGGATAACATCCACAATAAAATCCTTCCTCAAAAGTGGCAGAGGCTATCAAAACAGCCTTAACGTGAATGCAAAGTAAAGGCATCTCTTTCCAGGCAGTTGGCTAGTCTGCATCTAAAGCGTCGTTACCTGGGAAACATAATCACCCTGGGTCAGGTACTGCTCTCAGTTACACCTGGGTAAGCCCAAAGTGACTCCAGCGAAACTGGTGGCATTACACCAGAATCTGGCCCTGTATGTTTGAAATTCTGTGTACCCGTTCCTAGTGTCCCTTTAGCTGATGATTTAAATGGGGTGGGAGACACACAAATCTAATTTGCTTCTCGCTGCTTAAGAGGGTTGCTTATTTATTTATTGTCTTCTCTCTGATTAGTATTATTTGTTGTATTTAGTGTCTTAGAGGCCCCATTCGAGATCAGCATCCCGCTGTGCTGGGCACTGCATGTATCATAGCAAGACACAGTCCTTGCCCAGAAGAACTTACAGTCTAAAT